ATCATGTCTTCTGACTGCAGTTGGTGTTCATGCATGCGCTCTGCTAGCCTTCTGCCTGTCTGTCCTACATAGTGGCTGTTACAGTCTTTACACTGTATGTTGTAGCTGGCTCCCATTTTTTCTTCTTGGACTACTGGGTCTTTTGGTTTACTCAAGATGCTTTGGAGGGCTTTAGTTGATTGGTGTGCTACAATGATGCCATGTGGTTGTAATAGTCTGTTGGTTGTTTCTGAGAACCACCACATCTTTCTGATGTGTGGCAGTGTTATCCTTTTCATAGCTTGTGTTGGTTGTTGTAGTAGGCTGAGTAGTCAGGCACTTTTTGATAAAGTTGTGTGAGTTCCATTTTGCTGGAAGATGTTGTATAGGCAGTCTGTTTCCTTTTTCTGCTGTTCTGGGTTGCTGCAGTGCGCTTGTGCCTGTCTGAATAATGTTATTACACAACGACTGGGTGTTACTTGTGGGCGATTGGGTTGTTACTTTGGTAATGGAGCACTTGGTTAGCATGGGTTTTTCGATAGACTTGTGTTTCTAATTTGCTGTCTTTTCCTCTGCTGATGTGGATATACATGAAAGGTGTTGTTTTCTTCTTCCCTTGTGAATTTTATTCCTTTGAAGATGTTGATTGTTTCATGTGTCTTCTCTAGTTGTTCCTTTTTTATTATGACAAGGATGTCGTCTACATACTGGATCCATACTTTTGGTTGTATGCGTGGGAGTGCTATAGCTTCTAGACACTGCATTAGAATCTCTGCTATGAGTCCTGAGAGTGGTAATCCCATGGGTGTTCCTCTGATTTGTTGGTATATTTGTCCATCAAACTGACCATAAATAGTGAGGCAGAGGTTGATGAAGTCCATGATTCTCAGTATTTTGATCTTGGTTACTAGCAGTAAACAACAGCCTAATCAAGGAGCTACCAAGGAAAAAACAACACCCCCACCAACACCAACAGGGCAAGCTACTGTATATAAACAGAGAGGAAACCCCATTCCCTTCTAGCAATGAAGATGTTACCTAGCTGGGTAACAAAACATTTGCAAGAAAACAGCCAAGCTCCGAGAACACCAAGGATTCCACAGTTCAATCCTGAGCTGCATATATTCTCTTCTACTGGTTAACTGATACATCCATCAGGGTAATTCACTCTCATTTTAAGAAAAGTGGAATCTGTGTTGCCACCTAGCATGCTCCCATTCAGATCCATGTCTTTCTCCACAATCCTTCTCCAATACAGTATCAGCGTTTTCCATGTACATGGGTTTCAACTTTTTTCAGTTTCCAGCCACTGAGTATGCTCAGTTCTCACTGGGATTTTGGGGTTCCTCCTGCCCCCCAGGGTGATTTGATTACATTTTCTTTCTATAAACCATGTCGCCTCTCCAAGTCTGCCAAATAACTGATTCTTATTTGGAGGGTGTCATCACTGAACCACTGAACATCAGAAATGAAGGGAATGAAAAAACAAGTTAAGAATAAATGCCAGATTCTGTTTTAAGGGAATTTGTTGAACAACCCACCATGGCTTGATTTGCAGATAATATTCAGTTGTAGCTAAAGTTAAACTAGACTAATTTCTTTCATGCAATGGATCTTATCTCTAAACCCAGGGCCACTAGTGATCTGTGTATGTGCTGCAAGTACTTTCCATTCAGGGTATCAAAATAAAAACACAGATACTGTTTTTAAATGGTTAGCCTATCAGGAGACTGCCAAACCTTACAAGATTTTTGAGTTCTGGTTTGACCTTTTGAGATTTTGGCTATTTTTAAAATTAACTGTTATTCTATCTTGAGATCCCACAGACCCCAGTGGAGACTATATATGTCATGGTGTCACTACCACCCATTGGCTTATGCATGGTGGTCCTCAAAAGCTTTCCATGATGACACAACATCATGCGCAAAGGAAAAGATTAATTACAGATGACTTCGTGTTATGTATGAATGTGTGAACGTGTCCCTTTCCACAAAGCGGCTGAACAACCCAATATTCACTGGTAGAAAGACCCAGCCCATTCAAGCCTAAAATAGATACCAATGACAGCCACAAGTAAAACACCTACCCACAAAAACTAATTAATCATATATGGGAAGAGATGGATGTAGTGGTGGTGGTGGAAGGCCATACCATAGCAACTTGCAAATCCCATCAAATCCGAAAACCCACAATTCCTGTATAGATGAGCACATCAGTGGAGCAACTTAGTCACCAACCAAAGGAACAAACACAAACGTCCAGAACACTTTAGCACGGGTGCTTTATCCGCCTGAACATCTGAGAAAAGAAAGACTTCAACCCTTGTTTGAACAGCTTTCTTTTGGCAACTGCTGGAAGATGCCAAACCAAGAGCATTCCCCGCGGACAACTCAGCCCGAATTTACTACTGGAATCGGCTCCGTTGTCGCAGGACACGGCGAACCACAACCGACCCCCGTCCGGGGCTCGCGGGGCCCGCCCCGCTACCCCCGCTCTGGAATCCCTGCGCCGCCGTCATAATCGCCTACCTGGATGAGACCCTCTCGGAGCAACGCGGTGTGCGCGCAGCCCGGGACCTCGGCTTTCAGAGCCAGCGAGCCGTTCGCGTTGTTCACCCGCCAGCTGCCCCGCAAGGTGTGCACCGCTGCTCCGGCGGGGCGCGGGAAGCCGGAGCCGAGCGGCAAGCCGCCCCTGCACGCAGCGAGCAGAACCGCCAGCACAAGCACGCGACCCCTGCTTGGCATCCTCGGCTTTGCCAACAGGAGTTAAAGCCAGGCAGAGGCTGCCGGCAGGAGAGGCAGGCAGGGGGTGCTTGGGGCGGCGCAGCGGGGCGGAGAAACTCCGAGTCGCGGGAGCCGCGTCAAGTGAGCTTCCCCGGAAAAGTGAAAACTCTCGAGCGCCTTTGGCCTCCGCGCAGGGGAAGAAATGCGCCTGCGCGCATCTTCCTCGCCTCGGGCGCTGCAAGCGAAGGAAGGGAGCTTTCGCTTCGCGCGTCCGCAGAACGCCGTCGGAAGT